TTTTATTAAAATTCACTTAGATGTCTACTAATTACAGTCTTAAATTTTGTCATTTTCAATAAGTCAGCCTTTGCTCTCAGGTAACTAAATTCTGTTAACTAGTTTAGGCCTACTGCAAATGCAGATACACATTCTGTCTCAGTTCAGATCAACTTCTCCAATCCAACCTTCTAATATCCCTTGTGCCACAGAAAATGGGCCAGCACTACCTCCTCATTTCTCTTAATTTTCCCTGTTTATTATATCAACCAACCTAAGCAGAGCCTTTGTTGACAGAAAAAGGAAAAAACATGTCTTTCCTTTGACTTGAGTTATTCTGAAGCACAATTCTAAGGGTTACAAAATAGTACTTCTGTCGATTTTGTATAGTGGGGGTCTAGAAACTCTGAGCTGGTAATGAAACTGGATTTTTTTCCTAAGGGTTTACTTGTGTACACATCTTGACCTTTAGTCTTTGTGCAGCCACTAATGTTCCCCTGATTAGGTTAGCTTCACCTTGCCTTACCAATCCTTCGTCCCCATTCCATTGCACAGGGACGATGAAGTTCGTGGAAGATGGTAATGTAGTCCATGTTTCTTCCTGGGCTTTCTCTCCTTGTACTGAACATCATGTATTTTCCAGATTCCTTTCACTGTGGCTCTTCTTCTTTATTCCAAGGCTTAACAAACATCAATTTGAGAGCCTGTTAGATTAACTGCATTTTAAAAGTTTTCTTATAAATCAATTACTTCTACATACAAGAAATATTATCTTATTTTAAACAGTTAACCAAACCTCATGATCACTAGTAGAAAAATGATTCCCAAGGTAAAAAAAAACTGTAAACATACAATAAAAATTCTTTTCAGTATCAGTAATGTGTAGACTACTGCTTACCTAAATAGAAAACCAAAAGGATAGCACATCAGTAATAAAAATATGGAATGTAGTCTTCTACTAAAAGTCTAGATAAAAATGGAAGCTAAGATAAAAAAGAATCCTTAAAAAATAAATCAAAGCTTAGCAAATTCAACGTCTAGATCATAAATATTTATATAAAATCTAAGGGGAGGTACTGGAAATATAATGGTACATTTATCAATAATTCAAGAGCAGCATGCCTACTCCATGCTAGGCAGTTCTAGGTGTGAGGAATGCAATGTTGAAAGTAACTGCATGTGATTGCTCTATGGTGTAAGCTCTTGAAAAGAACAGATGAAGTCTCTGTCCTCGGGGAATTTCATGTTCTAGAGGAGAAATTTATTTTTTGAAGGAGCAGCTTATAGGACTCTGGAGATGGGAGTGGTTAATGCAGGAACATACCCAGGCCCACCTCAGAAACAAATGGCCTTCAAGAGTTGCAGAGCTTCCTACAAGGTAAAACAGGATGGCTGAACAACTTGCAGTAAGAGAAAGGAGCCATAAGCATCACAGAGAGGACAAGGTTCTTTCAGGAACAGGAGTTTTTATCAGAGCTTTGAAGAATATTTCATTTCTAAAACAAAAAAGAGGAGAGCATGTCAGACCAATGAGAGACAAGCCAATTTTTTTTAAAAAAATATCATAACAACCTGAGGCCCAGACTGGCTGATCTATTTTCATATCATGCCTTTCTTCAAAGGGCTGACTACTTAGCATTATAACACTAAGGAAGAGACGGCAGTAAGGTCCTGTTGTTCATAAAAGCATACTAGGAGTAAATTTCATTTCCCACTTATCCTAAGAACACAGATTCTAGGTTTTCTAACTGTTGAACAATTAATTGTTTATTCCCTAGACCAGTGAGGAGCTTTCAGCAGTACAAAGAGCCTGCTGGGGTGTGTGTGCCATAGGTTCACCACCACTCGTCTAGGCAGAGCTGTAATACAGCCTTTCTGATTGTCAAATAACATAATCAAATTTCTACTTGATGCTCAGTAGGTTAAAAATAATCTAAACACTCCTTCTCTATGTAATAAAGGTATGGAGAAAGACCATGGTAAAATAACTTGACCATTGCCTACTACTTTATAGCTTGTCTTTTAATATAATAAACTTATGTGTGACATCCATGTGGCTAGGAATGGGTTTTTTATAACATAAATGCAACTTTTTAACTGACTTTCCAGTTCACCCAACAGATTTTTACAAGTTGACTATGTTTTATATTTATACACAAGGACACATTTTTCTACTTGAAGAGAAGAATAAAAATTTTTAAATGACTGTTACTTCTAGTAGAGTAACCTTGATGTTTAATGTTGTAGCTTTACTGAAGATATGACCAAGTTCTCAGTAATAGTAAGAAAGCAATTCAAATTAAATGACACAATTATAGAAATACAATTACAAAATTAAAAAAAATCACAATAATCTGTTCTAATAGTTTAATTTGTGTATCAAAAGTCATGATATTCCAATTACAAAACTCACTTTTGTCCTTTCCTCCCATTTCCCCTTAGTGATTCAAAGCATTTTTAATTTTTCTGTTTATTTCCACTTCTCAATGAAAGGTTTCTCAACAGCCTTTCCAAATGTCAATATGTTTATGACAATGTGTTACCTATGTATGAATAATTTAAAAATTATACCTTCACTTCTTATCTTAGGATGTAGGAGCTTATGAGATCTATTCATAACTTGTAAACTTTGAGCCAAGAATGATAGACATTTAAGTGTTGATTTCTTCTAAAGTGGTTTTAAGAGAAGCTTCAAAGTGTAGATCTTTGTAGTAAGAAAGACTTCACTCTTTTTATGACCATCCTTCAAAACAGTTGCCAAAGCATAAACCACAATTCGTTTCTGCCATACTTTATGCCTGTGAGCTGCTTTAAAAATGTAGAAAGTGATGAAGCTTTTGTCTGAACTTCAGTGGACATCCTAGGGCTGATCATTTTACTACTGTTTTTCCCAATACTAGTCCAGGAAGGGAGTTTTTCCCCTATTCTCAGATAAGTTGCCATAAAAATTCATAGCTATCTAATTCCTTAGATGTTTTTAAAATGCTCAAGTACAATTTTACGTTCCACAGGTCCTTCCTTGAGTTTTGCTTGGGTTTTTTCTCTCAGTCTGGAGATTGAGCCATAAAGTATTTCATAAGGCAGAAACAGAATCAACATGTTCTAGTAAAAACTTATGCAAATTTTAAAAAACATGTACAAATGGGGTGAAAAAGAATGCAAAAATAGTCTATCAGCTTTCTTGCAAAGAACCTCAAAAATTTAAAAACAAAACAAAACAAAACAAAACGTGACTACCAGATACCATGAAGGTAACACAAAGAGAAGAAAATACACAGACCTAATGCCAGGAGAATGGTGAAAACTGGAGACCAAGACTATTCTTTGGTTAGATTACACTTCTGAGAATCCAACTTACAAAAGAGCGATCTTCCATTGGAGACTGGATTGCCGTTGGGTAACTCTGGGAAACACAGGGTGGGCGTGGCCTTTCCAAGCTCTCTGAACCTTACCATAAGAGACAGACCTTCAGAAGATGTTCCTTCTACAGTTGCCATTTGAACCCCCAAGCTAATCCTATCCAAAAAGTTTCACTAATATCAAAATGTGCTTTTTTTTTTTTTTTTTTTTTGCTAAGTACATAATTCACCAAGAGAAAGGACCAGCTTGAAGTATTAGAAAAATTCTGAGCTCCTCTCCACTGAACAAAGAAGCAGCTTCTTAAAAGAAGGCACTGCTGGTGAACATCTGGGAGATAAAGACCTTAAAAGTACTGACAGACTTCAGTCTCACCATGGCTGTCCACTCCTAGGTTCTGGTTTCCTAAAAATAGCTGTCAGGGTACAGATCCCTCTTACTCTTTGCCCTAAGAAAGCTAAAGAACTCTCCAGGGGGAGTGGTTACTTCCCTCTGAAACCTGATGCTAGCGGTGAGGTCACAGCTTGTCCCAAAATAAAAGAAAGCCTCAGAGAAAGAGGACTCACTCAGGGACTGGAGCAGCCCTCACGCACTCCTCATCTTCGCCGCTGTTCTGCACCCCAGCAACTCCATCATGGTGGGTCCTACAAGACAACGGTTTGCCTAGAGAGGAGGATAAAGCTAGGGGGTAGGAGCTTATCGAGAAGAAAGGCTGAGGACAGATGGAACTGAGGAGAGAACACAGGCCAGCACAAATTGTTAGAATCTACTTTGGATTTTTGATGAATAGAAAAAATTAACTGGAGCTATTATGCCAACTGGAACAGCATATCTTACTCCCCAGTACAGTTCTTTAGGATTCACCAACTTTTGCTATGCCACATGAAGGCTGTTATACTGAAATTTAGAAAAAAATCCTATGACAATAGCAAAATATTAGATCTTAGGACACAATCCAATGATTCTGATAGGAAAAGTTAAGCGAACTGTTTCTGATGCTTTAGGTATCCCATACAAATATAAAAATGTGTTGGTGAAACAGCAGAAAAACTTAAGATGCCCCTTTAAATACAACTTATCAATACTTTTTAATTTAGTACATCTTATTGGGAATGTCTTAGTTACATTATGGATGATGATATTATTCTAAGTATTTGATTTTGCATTTATTACATCATTGATTTACTGATTAAGATACAGAGAAATGGTTCCTACTTGTCTTTTGCAACAGATGCTTATGTTCCTAGATTTTAAAGTACCCTAAGGCAACCTTCTTCTGCTATGACACTTTCACAGCTTCCTAAAAGTCTCAAAGCAGAGAGCACACATGCTTCTGTCAATGCATTGAAAGAATACTAGTTGTTTCTTTCTCTCTCTCATCCCTGCAGTCCTTCAGTGCTGACCAGATTGCCGGTAAGTGGTTTGAGTTTCTGTACTGGAGATGCAGGCAGGGTGCTGCCTCACTCCGGAGATGTCACTAAACTCCAAGGCATGCTACTTTGTGGCTCAACCTGTTCGTGTCCAAGCTATGCCTGAACTCGGAAAAGTAGGCTGATTCTGGAGCTTACTTTGAAGATTATTCAGGGAATGAGCTGGATACACTTAAAAATCAGGGCATTTTTGTCTGGTTAAAATATTCTTTGTGATTAATTTCTTTCTAACAGATCGAGTTCTCTAAGGATCAACAGGATGGTAAGTTTAAAAGCTATAGCTGCTAATATGTGCACACTTGTAAAGATGATATGTGAGAAAAGCAACTCCCTTGAGATGAACTAAGCTCTTCCTAATTATCCACACCGGTGTTACCGCTCTAAATATAAATTGCTCTCCATCACTCTAAATATAAATTTGCTGAAACTAAAGCCCTTGCTTATAATCAGTCATCAAATATTTTAGCAAATAAAAGATAAAGACCACAATGTAAGTCCTTGTATTCACTGATTTTTAAATAAAACTAATTTGATCCAATAGGTAATGCCACATATACATATATCCACAAAAGGACGTCTACTTTAGAAGGCTAATTTACTATCCAAATCCCTGAAGAGAAATTTAACAAGTCTGAGTTGTTCCATTTGGAAAATAAAACTGGTTATAAATCTACCCAATTACTAAATCTATGGTGCCAATATTTTAATGGGCACCATAGTGCACTGTAGAATAAAGGCAAATCCAGGGATGAAGAAGAAGGAATAATTTATCATAGGTTTGTGGAAGGAGCATTAGACATCTCCTGAACCAACCCTTCTTTGGACATGCAGGACAGACACCCAGAGAGATGATAGATCTTGCTGAAGGACCCAAAGAATTAGTGATAAGATCAAAATGCGGTATGCAATCAAATTGATGAGAACTTTCCTTTACAAAATGTTACTAGCAAGAGACTCAAAGATCCAGGAGCTCTAAACAGTTTCACTAACATTTCATTTTTTCCCCTTTGGAGCTTTGGAAACAACAGATCACATACTCTGTAGGAGAAATGTTTCATGCAGCAAAAGTATCGCAGTATTTAAATTCACTGAGGCAGAAATACATCTATGGAAGGGAGGCTAGAAACTATTTAGTTATATAATGTGTAAATTAGAATATTTGCCATAATGATAAGTATATATTATGTTTTGTGACATATAAGGTATAAACAAATATGGGTAACTAATAAGAACCTGTTCAAATCATCCTCTCCCTGAAGAATTCTATATCCTTTTGTCTATTTCTGGGTCATCTTTGTCTTACTCGACATCAACTAAGAAAAAAATTAAAATGGCTGTCATATAGACTCACTAGCATCTACACTATAGTTGATGGTCTTGTGAAATTTAAAATCTATTTGATATCCTAAGGTGGACTCAAGATCACTTGAGATTATACTGTGAAGGGCTGTTTTTTATTATTGCAAACAGTTAATGATTCTACTATCATTTGTTTGAATCTAATGCAGTTTTAAATAGTAATGATGTTACTTTATTGGTTCCTGTCCTGTCAGATATCTAATTTACAGTGTGTTTATGACTGCCAAACTATTGTAGCACTGAGCAGTGAATGGTTTTATAACCCTTACAGGGACAAAAGGACTTATTGCTAAACATAACACCTATTACTCCACATGTGAAATAGGTTTTAGACACACAAATTGGGTAAACATTGGTGTAGTAGACTGGTATACTTTTGAGTCAGGAAAAGAAATGCAAACTGTTAAACAGAATGCTATACTTTCTGAAATGAATGAAAACTACTTTAGTCTGTTTCCTTAAGATTAAAGAATGTTGTTCATGCTCATCTGTTAGAATCGAAGGAAAGGAAAAGATAAGACTGAAAGAAAGAAGAAAACTAGAAACATTCTAAAGTCTAAGTCCTGTCCTGTCCAATAGAGCAGCCACTTAAATAGCTATGTAAGTTTGAACTAATTAAAAATTAATAAATTTCAAAATCCATTTTCTCAGTTATACTAGTGACATTTAAGGTTCAAGGGCACAGTAGTTACATTTTTGGCAGAGAACAATTCCATCATTACCTAAAAGTTCTAGAATATAGTTCTAGACAACAGTAAGTCTTTACTGGCAGCGCAGTCTCTGTAAAGACAACTCCACTCTGTCACCAATCTGTGAAAACAGCATGCATAAACAAATGGACATGGCTGTCTCCCAACCAAATGTCCTTTATGTGTATGTATAAAACAAAAAAGGCAGCCCCGGGAAGTAACTGGCCAGCCTATGCTCCAACCTTCAAGAGAATAACTAGCCTTAGGTTAAAAATCTGGGGTCAAAAGATCAGTAGTTTTTCTGGCCTCTGCCTTTAAATCAAAAGAGTGAATGTCAGAGTGATTCCATTACAGCCCATAAAATCCCAAGTCTACTTCAGCATCTGACAAGGGTAATTTTGAGCCCTCCAGCACTCTGTGCCCGAAAGCCAGTAACAAGAATAGTTCAGTCTCACATGTCCCTTAGAAAGATGGAAAATAGTATTCGACTAGTTACACCACAGGGCCTATAGCACGCTTTTTTAGAGTAGGGAAATGCTCTGTTATAGCAAACTTCAGAGGATTTTAGCAAAGGATGACATGATCTACAGCTCCTTGTGAATGTAGTGTCTGGTGCAATCTCAGATTAGGGGGTGGAGGAAGATTGAGAAAAGATATTTGGCTGCATGACCTATGTGGACAGCATCCTGTGATCTGAGACCATTGAGAACCCAGAAAGAACGCTTTCAGCTCTATCAGTTCATTCATAACTAGTGTTTAGAGTGTTGCTGGTAAGAACTCCAAAGAGTTACCATCAGTACTTCTGGGTTTCTGAGAAAATATTTCTTATTTGATAAGTTTAGAAGTTTCAGTTTAAGTAAATTTCCTAGACTCTAAATTCACAGTAGCTCCCTTTTTGGTCTTTTTGTTACATATTTCTAAATTCTTTGTCATTGCCATTTTGAAAGACAAAACTAATGCTATCAAAAGATAGTGACAAAATGCAACAGAAGGGATAAATTGAGAGATTATGATAAGAAGAGAACACTTTAAAATGCATGCTTAATGCACACAACACACAAATGAATACAAGCACACCAGGGAACCAAAAATGAAATCACGGAGTCTACAACATGAATGACCTGTTGTAATAATGTACTATTGTTTTGCAAAATATTTTGGGAGAAACTGCTTTGGGAGAAACTGGACAAAGTGTATAAGGAGTTTCTCTGAGTTATTTCTTACAATTGCATGTGAATTTACAATTATTTCCATATATTTCAACTTAAAATGTGTACTTAAATTCTAAAGTTGGTATAGCAACATACTGCATATGTATTATCTGGGGGAAAAGAAGAGCAAAATATAGAAAGGGTCTCAGCAACTGGTCCAAAAGTATTTCTCCTTTTGAATCAGTGATACTGAAAGCCTAGTAGAGGTCTATCCTACATGCTTAGATGACATAGAGCTTGCAGGTTTGTCTCACTTTTTTAACTTTTTCCTGGAAAATGAAGTTATTTCTAGGAAAAAAAGTTAGTTAAAGGGACACCTTAGGAAACTTCATCTCAAGAGGAGGGTTCCTATGTAATTTGAGAAGTTTAGGTTAATCTCACATAAGACAACATTGACTGAAAACTTTTTTTCATAAAATTACATTCACCTTCCTAATTATATGAAAGATTATGTGAAGATTATTAAGATTTCTCAAGACTTCGGAACCTTTTAACCCAATCCTGCTTCCCAGCAGGTGAAGGAAATAGGACTCAGATCACCAGTTTCTATATCTGATTAGCAATAACACATGGCCAGAAACTGAAAATGCTGCACTGAGATAATTCTCAAAAGAAACGCCAAAAGGGTCTGCTGATATCTGTTTGAGATCAGAAAACAGACTCTAAAGATAACAACCTGAGTGGTTGGCAAAAGTTGTAAAAGACAGAAGAGTTTGAACTGAATCTTTGAAAGAGTTGGGGTTAATTAAGGTTCAGCTCCCTAATGTTTTTCGCTCTTTGCAGAATTCAAGGAGGCGTTTCTCCTGTTTGACAGAACAGGTGACAGCAAGATCACCTTAAGCCAGGTCGGTGATGTCCTTCGGGCACTGGGCACAAATCCCACCAATGCGGAAGTCAGGAAGGTCCTGGGGAACCCTAGCAATGAAGGTAATGGCACCAGTCTTTTCAAGATCTACGGAAGTGCTGTAAAGTGAGAGTGTGAGTGTGTGTGTGAGTGTGTGTGTGGTGTGTTTGTGGTGGGTGTGAAGTGTGTGAGAGGAAGAAAGGAGACAGACACTGAGGAGTAAATAATAAATTCTACATACCAGGGCTGACTTTACTCCTGAGCGTAGCAAGTGTGCCTCTTTGACCAACTGAAGTCTCAGCTTTTTCCCTCATAAGATAGTTACTCTCCCTTTGATCATCTGCTAATGAAAAAAAATCTAATACTAAGACTATCATCCTCATCATCATACTTTATGTTTATAATGTAATTGCATGGAAATGAAATAATATCTAATTCTACACATTTTCCAGTTTCAAATCTGCAAAAGCAAACATTTTGACAAAGGTATTAAATATAGCTAAAACAAAATGTAGTTTGTATACAGTTTTGAGTGAATTACAATGGCATACTTCTAGAGAAAATTTATTCATTGATTTAATAAAACTGGAAATAAAGTTGCAGTGTTTTGAAGTGACTGAAAAATACCTCCTGACTTTGCCTGTCTCTGTCCTTTGACACTACTTCTGTAGCTACCTTAAAAGAAACTCAACTATCTTAATTAAGAATACACAAATTTACATCTTCAGTATTTTTTATTTCTATTCAAATTATGAAAAACTTGTAAAGCCAAAGCCGAAACCTGTATCACTTCTCTTAAAGTAAATCCCAGCACAAAAAAATCAGTGAAATATATTAGTGGCAAAATTTAGACTCCATTCACTTAATACAAAAATCAATCATTACTTGAGAACAAGGAAATTGTTTTTAATCCCAGTGCTTCATGGTAAAGCATAACAATCTATTGGAAAATGTGACTCTAAATAAAAAGTACACAAAACCGAGGTTTTCTTAAGTAGATATTGAAGCTGTTTTTCTCTGCCATCAGGGATAAGAAAGAAGGGAGAAGGTAAATAATCTTGTTTTCCTCCTTGCTAACTAAAAATGTGGAGATTTCCCTTCATTAAAAAAGGAAGACAAGCTTGATTTTTAAAAAGACTGACTTCTGAATCAGTCTGATGGAATTTTACTCTTGCTTCATTTTCTCTGGAAGATATTTTAAATTAAGTCATCCAGAAAGTAGCTGAGAGTATGAGATAAAGTGAGGCAGCAACGGCTAAACCTTATTTTTAAATGTCGTTGTCTAACTCACCAGCGTTCTTCTTTCTTGGACTCACTCATTTTCAAATTTAATTTTTCTGATATTGCTCACTGTATTCACTTCTGTCCTGTGAGAGAAGAACATGGCAATTTTTATTTTAGGGAGACATAATTTTATCCACTTATGTACATCTGGGCAGACTATACTTTTACGTGAATGAGATTTACCTTGTTAGAGATGCTAAAGAAATTTCCACTATCTCCAAGGCTCTACACTGCAAAGGAGCCAGGAGATCACAGAATATTTGACACACAATTTCCTCATAACCTTCTTTTATAAACTCTCAAAATTTAAAACATCAAAGGCCTTACGAAAGCTCAGGACATGAATGAAATAAGTAATAAACTTCAGTTGTTTTACTGTATTAATTAGTTTTTAATATCCCAGTATAATTTTATATTGCTTCCCTGGTATTTGTAGAAAATTGACAATACTAAGAAAATAATAGATAATATTTATTAAACACTCAATTTGTCTCAAGTATTACTAGAGATTCCATGCATTAAATTATTTAAGTCTCAAAATAACACTACGAGGTCTTTCTACTTTACAGATGAAAATCTGACACACAAAAACGTTAACAAAGTTGCCCAGGGTCACACAGTTGAAAATGATGGAATGGTGGATTGGTGGATTGATGCATTGGTGGATTGGTGGATTGGTGGACTGGTGACAGAAGCCTGGCTCCTATTATGAAATTTTTATAATTAGCAATTTACCAACTGAAATTTTAGCTGTATGAAGAGCTTTTAGGTCATGAAGAATGAACTTTCAAATTTAATTTGTGACTCAGAAACAGAACTATATGATAGAGACTAACCTTCTAAATTGCAATTTCTTCCAGAGATGAATGCTAAAAAAATTGAATTTGAACAGTTTCTGCCCATGATGCAAGCTATTTCCAACAACAAGGACCAGGGCACCTATGAAGACTTTGTTGAGGGGCTGCGTGTCTTTGACAAGGAAGGCAATGGCACAGTGATGGGTGCTGAGCTCCGCCACGTTCTGGCCACCCTGGGTAAGGCGAGTTTATTTCGGTGAATTTGACAGGAGAGGACATGTAGGAAATAACATGACAAGAGACTTGTGTCATAACTGAGATAGGTGAGAAGATTGAGTACAGAGGACAAACAAAAAGAGAATCCTCAAAATTTAATGACAACTTCAACTGGCCTCACTTTCAATGAGTTTATTTTGGGGAGATGCTAACTTAAACTACTGGCAAAGAGGTAAAGCATAGGCGTTCTTGGAGGTTCTAGTTTGGTTGACAAAAGAATGATGTGCACTCATTCATTCATTCAAAAATGATTGGTTGACAGTTCACTATGTGCCCGGGAAAGAGTAAGGAAACCGATTTTATCCTACGAGAGTTCGACAGTAGCTTCTAAGGGTCCATGGCGGATCACTTGTGGCAGAGTATTGAAAACATCATCTGGCCTTGTTTCTACAAAATGGGCTTTGTTTCATCAGGTGAAAAGATGAAAGAGGAAGAAGTGGAAGCTCTGATGGCCGGTCAAGAAGACTCCAATGGGTGCATCAACTACGAAGGTACAACCAGCACACACTTGTGCAATCAGCAGTTTTTCAATGGTTGGCTTAATGACAGTTTTTTTAAAATTGTTTTCTTCATCCTTCTCCATCGATAAGTTATGTTTTATGAATGAATTGCATAACTCTAAAAACATATCCTATGAAGATCCTGAAATATATATATATTCACATATATATACTTATTCCAGTGTGTTTTAGCTATCCCATATGTTGCTCTACAGTTTAAAATGTGTTTTCACGTGTATTTTCTTGTTAGATCTTCACAGTGTCCCTGTGACATAGGATTTGTGTCAGAGTTAAAGTAAATTTAATAGACAATTAAAGTTGGGGAAATGTCAAAGTCTTTCACTGATACCAAACAATTATAAAAATGAGGAAGTTGGGGGCCAAAGAGATTTAGATACCAAGTGAGGGTCAAATAATTAACGACAGGGCAGGCATTAAAACAGCTCACTTTGTTCAGAGTTCTCGCTCCCATGAAAGTAATCTCATATCCCCCAATTATTTATATCCTGCTACCATTATAGAGTTGCACCCAAAAGGTAGAAAAACAAATCACTACATAAAATTAAGATACAAAATAAATCTGTTTGAAATTATTTCACAAATTTTAAAACTTCTAGCAAAATTTAAAAATATGTTATTCCCATAGCAGACTATTCTAATAATATTTTAATAAGACCATTTTGACAGCTTTGGTGGAAATATAAGCTTACCAAGCCTGACAACTGAAAGAAGAGATAAAAGCATAGAAGAAAATAGGAAAAGCAGGGAGAAAGAAGGGACAAGTGAAGAACACTCAGTCCAGCAGATATACACTGGCGATCTTGACTGAACGTGTTTTTTCCCATGAACAACTGTTTACATTTGGTTGTCTCTATAAACACACTACACAGAAGAATCATTTAATAATATGATTTGGATGAGTAGATAGTCATCTAGAAAATAAAACCAAATCTGAACTTTCAATTTGACTGTTTTCTAACTCTACATTGTCTGTATTATCCCAACAGCTTTTGTCAAGCACATCATGTCTATCTAAGTGGAGTTCCCAAGGTATACCCCTGTTCTGTCTTTAACACACAGGCTTTATTGATACGTATTTTTTTGAATTAACAGTTTCATCTTACACACTGTAGATATACCTAGCATTGCTTCCTATAATTAGCATTGGTTCCTATAAAATGACTCTTAATTAGAAACCAAAAATATCATCTCCTGGAGATGGATTACTTAGAAATAGCACATATTTGTGTGAACATGCAAGCAAAAACAGAATGAGGTCTCTGCGTCCATCCATCAGCTCTATCACTTTAACTGTAGTACAAGCACAGAGCGGAGACTCAACCAACCAGAGACTAGTCGATTCATTTAGTTGGAATACAACATTAATGAAAGCATGGGGCTGAGCTTTCTGAATAACTAAACTAACTTTGAACAATTGCTGCTCTACAAAACTATTTTGTGACGGTCCAGAGTCAAACACTTCCAACCTTTTCCTTAAAACATTTCATTGTATGCTTTGCTTTGTTTGCCCTTCACTTCATTTTCCTTATGAACTGAAAAGGTAATCAACATCTGACTCATTTTCTAACTCTTTTTTCTCTTTTCCTTTACAGAACATTGTTTAGAAAGACTGGCTGGAATTGTATTTTGATAATACCCATGGCTGCCTGTCCAGGTGTTTACCGTCATTTGGAAAAATAAAATATCTGGAACATTCTAGACTGAAAGACTCCCTGAATTTTTATATACCTTCATATTTTCTCTGCCATGTATTGCTACTACACAAACCAAGCAGCCACTGCAGTAGATGTGAGGAATAAAATACTGACAATCTTAAATCCAAGTACCACTCTTTATTATCTGTCACAGGTCAATAAGCATCTTTAAAATCCTATATCAATAAACAATTTTTGTCAGTCTGGAAAGTTCAAGTCATGCTGTGTTTTTATTTTCTTGCTTCATGAAATTAATTTTTGAGATCTCAATCTTTTTATTAAATGTACAGAATGCTGATTTATAAGCTTATAAAGAATCATTGTATTTTACTTAGCAGTAACAAACTGAAAAATAAAAATAATCATATATTATTGAAGAAGTAAAATAGAGAACTGAAAAAAAATCTATAGGTCAGAGATGCTTTAATATAAACTACCCAGGCAACATAATGTAAAAGCAGAGTTTTTCATATAGGTAGACATTATTTTGTGTATGGTTTGATCTTTTTCACTTTGAGTAACAATCTAATCCTACTTGAAAACACTAACAAGCCCTTGATCCTGCTCCCTAAGTGTCTTCAAGGACAAATTTTAAAGTGACCTTCCAGCTGTTATTTAAACAAAAAAAGAAAGGAAAAGAAATCTCTCTGGGGGTGGGATTATGGATCAAACTCAAGATCCTATTTATTAATATTCTATTTCCTATTATAATCTCCCTTCCTTTGCATGTCCATGTCTGCAAATATCTATTCAGTATTTAACACATGTAAAAATAGTAAGACTCTTTGACAGAAAAAATTTATAGTGTAAATTTATTTGATCATCCCAGAATGCTATCAGATGTCACTTTTTTCATTAGAATAGAATCTGAAAGTTAATATTGAATAGCTTTAAAAAGTGATAGTTATCTCTAAAAAGAGCATTATAAAATATGGGAGTATAAAATCTCATAAAGTACCTGCCTAGCTAGAGTTCTGGAAACCAAAACAACTTTTCTGCATTGTCCTAGGTGACCTTTAGTCACGTGTGGCTGCTGACCGCTGGAAATGGGGAGGAAATGAGTGTATTTCACTTCAGTTCAATTTGCACTTAAATAGTAATGTCATGGCTGTCATATTGAACAGTGTGGTTCTCAATATGTTTATCTTTAGTTAGGACATCAGAGCAAAATATCACTTTTTAAATTTAAAAATTTCAAAGGTCACAATGTAGAGAAATTGACTGTTACAAATAGTTTAATTACAAATGACCCACTTTTGTTTCAGAATATTTGGCTAAATGTCACATCCCCTGTCTTCCCTTAAAATTTTCAAATTAGAAATATGGGATGCCTACAAAGTACCAAATTGTTAGTTTCAATCTTGATTCTATGTAACGCTTTGCCCCCAAGACCTTACAAAACTGCTTTATTCCCGATGGGATAACATCGAGCACACTGTTATGGAATCTAACCTTATTAAATTACCATGTGTGAAATGCCCATAACTCAAGTAGTAGCAGGTGCAAAATAGGGTAGCAGGCGGAAGACTGACAGTAATTTTTAACATCCACACCAGCTGGCAAAAATGACAGGTGCCTAATTCCTCAGACTTTAAAAATAACTTTTGAAAAGTCTACACTGCATGAGCAAGTATCTTCAAGTTTGCTTTTTAACTATTTTCATCTTATCTTTCTTATACAATTTAATATTATATGTTAAATGTTGCCTCAACGTTATCTTTGAAACTTAAATAGCACACAGGAGCTAGTTAATACACAGGAATGTATTCCCCTTTGTGGATGAAATAAACAATTATTATTAATTAAGAAAATAAATTTTTTCTGACTTTTTAGTAGTATTTCCCAAGAAACATGATATAGGAAAGATGTTATAAATGTATCTTTCTCTAATTCTAACTACTTTTTCCATAGTGGCAAATGTAACTTGAAACTTAATTGACTCGAGAAAGAAACTTTCCCTTGAATCCTATGTCTAGAGAAGATCATGAATGTATGCATCTCTTTAGTAAACCACATCTGTAATCCCAAAAGCAAAGAAAAAATTAAACAGCAAGCATCTGGGGTCCAAACTAAATAACAGCAGCCCCTACTATTATTAAGATAATTGAAAGTAAAGAGGAGCAAAATTGAAGAAATAATTCAGGCGATGAGCTCAATTTTACAGTGTGATGAGGGAGCATCAGCCTAGGAAAAGTCAGTGTACAGGGGGGGATGCTGGGTTCCAAGGGCCTCCCGAGAACCTTTCCAGAAACGTCATGTCAAGATAGACTTGGTTAAACAGTTGTGTTTGGCAGGAAGAAGGACTCACTACAGTTCTCCTTGGGCTTCATCCAACCAGCAATGTGACTGAGCAGAGCTCTTCTGCTGCCGCCGTGGTGGTGTACAACCCTGAAGCAGCATCGCTCTTAGACTAAAAGTGTGCTCCCTGCCCTGGGCCTCACGCCTTAGAGGGCAACACTCCATATTTCCTTTATCACGGACTCCACAGCAGAGAAGCCTCCCCAGAAACAGAGGCAGAAACAGAATACGCCACTCTGGAGCTCACACCCCCATTCACAGACCGCTCCGGATGCCCAGGATCCTGAATTAGCCTATCTCAACAGTTCCCCACTCTCTGCCAGGCCCTGGGAGAGATGCTTCCTAAGCCCATGCTGCTAAGGGAGGACCTCCTTGGTCCTTGTGACCCTAAGACCCAGAAGAGGCCATAACCATCTGTGCTTGTTTTGTTTGAGTGAAGGACAGCATTCGCCTACAAGGCCCCTGCATAGAAGGTGGCACTGGAGCCCCAAACTGAGGAAGAGCAGGCCCCTGCATCTTGGGAAGATCAACAATGGGGTCAAGAATTCCCTCCTGGCCTTCTGAGTTATTATGAAGCTATATTTGTTAAGGAAGCATACCAGAATACTTATTTAACAGTTTGATCATAACTATTTGAATTTAAGGGAAGTCTTAAAAGTTGCCCAGAAATATTCCTAGTTCATTTGAATTTTTAAAAACGATAGGAAATCACTTGTCAGTAATTATATAGGTGACAGGGAAGGATTTTAACAGTATATAAAATGTTTTTCTTTCTACCCTTGAAAAAAAATATTTCCTTTGGTGTTATATTTCTGTAATTTGTAAAAGGGACAAAAAGCTCATAATTTTCTTGGTATAGAATAAATACAATATTATTAGTATAATAGGAAGTAACCTATAATGCTTGATAGTGTAATAAAAATACCAATTTAGTAAGTAAAAAATACTTGGAGAGTTTTTTAATTTTTAAAAGCTACATTAAAGTTTCATCACATACACATAAGAGTATACACTTCATGATAATTTTTGACAACAAATAATGGAGTTCACTTTGAACTTTAATTCAGCAAAAATGTTCAAATAGCAAATATATCCTTATTTATGTTTACTTTTCCATCCTCATCTGTTAGATCTGCGTCAGAGGAATCAAAGCATTCCCTAAAGAACAAGTACTTAAAGACAGGCTTATGTTTGAATCCTACTGTTGCCACTTTTGAGCTGTCTGACCTTACTTGATCTTTTCAAGTTTGTCTGGTATAAATGGTGTTTAAAAGGATTATTGGTGAATTAAAATAAAGAATGCGGGGCTGGGGATTTAGTTCAGCGGCACAGCACCTGCCCGGCAAGAGCAAGGTTGTGAGTTCAATTCCCGGTACTGGAAATAAATTAATTAATTAAATTAAATAAAGAATGTGAATTATTAAGCAAGTGGCAAGTACTAAAGCACTTTTCTTCTTGTTTTTTTTTTTCTTTTACTACTATCCCTTGGGTTTATATGAATGTGGCATGGTATTGGATTAGCTTTCTTTTCGTATTCTCCTTGCATAGATTAAGTCCAAATTATGAAGAGACCCACTCATTCAAACTGGGCAGAAAATAGCAGAAAGAAAAACAAAGAGTGCTCCAGTCAAAAACAGTTGAGAACTCACTAGTTCTGTTTAGTTTTCTTATTTTTTGCATCTGCAACGTGTAATATCATTTACCTACTCTGCATGAATCTCTCTCCCCCGGGATCTGTGATGCTACACTCTTGCTTTTCCTCCTAACTCTCTCTGCCTCCTCCTAATCTCTTTGGTGAGCTCTGCTTTCTCTGCTCATCTCCTAAATCTTTTTGCTTCTCAGGGTTCTATCCTCCAACCTCTTTTCTACTTAATCTGTACATTCTCCCTGAGTGATCTCAACCTCTCCCACGTCTTAAATGATCTATGTACACCTTATTCCCCCATCTTTATCTTCTGCAAGGTTTCTTCAAGGACTTCAAGATAGTGTAACCAATATCTTGCTAGTAACGTCGCACTGGCGTTTCAAATCCAAATATTCAAAGCAGAACTCATAGTTTTTTCCAGCTGTGTCATGCTTTGCTTTATCCTTTACCTCAAAGCTGGCCTTCACAGTCCGTAAATTAGCGATCTATTTCCCTAGTATTTTTTAGTCCAATGTTTTGTATTTCCACTATCTTTGCCTTTGTTAGTACAACCATCAGCACATTCCTGGATGAGTACTGCAGCCTACGGATTATTCTCTTTGACTCTCACACAAAACCTGCTCTCAAAATCCAACCAGAGCCTTGTTTGTAAAGTACAAAGCTGAGGATGTTGCTCTCTTCCTTTGAACACTTCAAAGGTCCTATCACCCCTAAATTCCAGAGCACCCCAAACTAGTTTGCAAAGCCTTTTGTGCCTCGTCTTCTCGTCCTCTCCCACCCTCATCTCACACTGCTCCACGTTAGCCATCCTGACATCCTGACAGCTACACATCCACCCTTCACTGTCTCACTTCTGCAAATCTATACACGCAGCCCCTCCTCGTCAAAGGCACTTCCCCTTTCCACGGTGTCTTCATCTACTTCTTCCTGCACTCTCACACCTCAGCTAAATTCTGGATTCCTCTAGCCTAAGCAGAATTACGTATTTCTCTGTTCTCCGAAGACATTCGGTTCTGATCTGTCATAGCATGTATTGTCCATACTACGAAGCCCAGGCTTCTTATTATCTATATTTTGTATTCGATACTGAATATGAATATATAGCACTGAAAATAAATGTGATTGGATTCAGTTGTATAAGATCCTTAAGATGCACTAAGCCTTGTTTCCTCCTTCTCCAGTTTCTGTTATTTCTCTTTGCTATGATGCCTTCTGAGCGAGTTCCATATCAACTATATCAAATTTATGTTCCAATCACTCACCAGTA